ACGTGCAAGGCCCCGTCGAACCGCAGTGACGCCGTGATGGATGAAACAATCTGGCTGATGAGACGGTTGAGGTTGGTGTAGGTGGGGCGCTCGATGTCCAGGTTTCGGCGGCAGATATCATAGATGGCCTCGTTATCCACCATGAAGGCGCAGTCCGAATGCTCCAGGGTGGTGTGCGTGGTCAGGATGGAATTGTAGGGCTCTACCACAGCGGTGGAGACCTGAGGGGCTGGGTAGATGGAAAACTCCAGTTTGCACTTCTTTCCGTATTCAGTGGAGAGGTGTTCCATCAGCAAGGAGGTAAAGCCAGAGCCGGTACCCCCACCAAAGCTATGGAAGATCAGGAATCCTTGCAGCCCAGAACAGTCATCAGCCTGGAAGCCAATGGGAAAAGTGAGAGAATATGTGAACATATCTTTAAATCACACCCTCAAATAGAGATAGCAACACCCACACCCAATGCACAGCTCCAAAGTCATCAGTTTTCCCAGAAAATTCTCATTGTCTGTTTTCCCCTGTAAATCTCGGGCTAGAGTACCAATAAAGCAATATGTGGGTTTTTTTTTTCTTAAAATAATAATGCTATAGCAATATTTGAGGTTTTCCATTTAAGTCTTCCATCCATATGAAAACTAAGATGGGACATCTGGGACCTGTCATTTCTCTGTTCTGAGCCGATGACAATAGTAAACGCAAAACGAGAGCCACTATCAAAAAAACCCATATGTGGTCTTTATTTCCCCTCCCACCCTCCTAAGGTCTTGCATCCAATAAAGTGCATACATACCAGCCTGCGGATACGATCTAATGCCATGTCAATTTTGTCTTTGCCAAGAGAGTAGTGGCCACGGGCATAATTATTTGCTGCATCTTCCTTTCCAGAGATCAGCTGTTCGGGATGGAAAAGCTGCCGGTAGGTGCCAGTCCGCACTTCATCTGAACAAGAAAGAAAAAGCATAAGCTTGGAAGAGGTAATTCACCAAGGTTGATTATGTTTGCAAAACAAATGGAGCATTTTACGTTGGCAGAAAATGGTATGGAAGATCTGCATGTGGAAAAATAAAGTATGGAGGTGAGGAGTATGATCTGAGATTTTCTCAGTTTTAAAAAAAGAAGTGGACTCTGCTCCAAGTGTAAGTTGCTGTGTTATACAAATGAATTCATTCATCAAATGAAGGCTGTGCCATGCTGTGGTAAAATTGCAGCTATATATACTGATCAGATGAAGATCCATCAGAACCGTCAGGAGAATGTCTGGAAAAAGAGGAGGTCTTCAAGAGTAAAACAGTGGTTTCCCCTAAACAGGACATTGCGGTTGTCTGATTCCTCATGCTCCTCTCTTACATCTGAATGTGAGGAAAGCTTTTTCCACCAGTTAGCAAAGGAAAAATATCACCACAAAAAAAGGCCAGAAAGGAGTCTCTAGGAAAGCTAAACTGTACTCACAACCAGTGGAGTTTTAAACAATAGCAAACTTTTGATTTTACTAATTATTATCAGAGCACCCTTGACAGAGAGCGATCTAGTTTTTGTCTTTTCATTGAGAATAACAGAGCTTCTGGTAATACCTGGTATTAAAAACTTAAAATCTGTGCGTTTTGCCTGCACGTTGAGATCATCCCTAAGGGTAAGGGCACGGTCTTACTATTCAGTGACCTGAACTTTGGCATCCAGAAGAGTTAATTCATTTCTATTTTCCAAGATTAGTTCTATACTGACCTATTACTGTTTGCTCCAAGTCCACCATTACAGCCCGGGGCACGTATTTTCTAGAGCTTGTCTCTCTGAAGAACGTGGCAAAGGAGTCATCGTCGCTGGGCTCGTCGGCGAAGGTGCCGTTTGACTGAATGCCGTGCTCCAGGCAGAAGAGTTCCCAACACGCGTTGCCGATTTGAACTCCGGCTTGGCCAATGTGAACAGAGATGCACTCACGCTGAAAGGGGAGGACAAGGGGAACGGTGAGAGGAACCAGTGAATATCCTACGAGTCTATAAGCTGATGCCAAATCAACCAATGATTACAACATTTTCCACAAGAGTGGAATTCATAGAAAATACTCTGACCCTTATTTACAAATAGGAAGAAAAATATTTTTCTGCGCGTAGAAGGAACAGCTAGAGATTTGCAGCGTGCCTACACATGGTGTACAGGACGCGGGATCTATGTGTAGATCACACATAAGCCCAGATAGAAAAACTGTGTCTAGGTACACAAAATAAACAACAGCAGGTCCCAGCTAAGGAATACGAGGCAAGTCCAGTTATCTGGGACAATACACAGCCATACTGCCTTATCAATATATAGATAAAGCAAAGGGAATGAAGTATCTTCTGATCTCTCAACCTCCTGTTGAACACGCGTGTTGGACAGGTAGAAAACAGGTTGGTAGAAATTAAAGGAACTGGAATTAAAGTGCCTTTAGTACCTTAACTTCAATCACTGATTGTTTCAGCCCATTCTCTGGGTACTTTTAATTCAATTTAACATGTGAAGAGTTAACTTGGTACTCCAAAGGACTTCATACTCTTTACATATTAGACTAAATTAATCTCCTGAGAAATCCTTCTCCTACATACACTTCTGTAATCGTGGCTGTTCAGTCAATAATTGGTTTCTGAAGTGTTTATTACTGTGTCATGCACACAGTTTAATAACAGAAATCTGAAACACAAAATATCATACTCTAAAAGTGTGTCTCCTCCTGCAAATTGCTATGCAGACTCCCAGGTACTGTGAATTTAAGGGCTTCTCTCAAAAACACCCTTGTTGCACACCGTATATTTGAATACGACTCTTTTGGCAGATGATTCCCATCCAGTCTTACAGAGTATCTAGGGAAACGCCCACAGTTCTTTGCTCTCAATTTTAATACTCACAAGCTGGTAGGAAAAGGCCAGTAATACAAGGTTAAACATACTGTATTCAAGGTACATCTAGAGTAGCTTCAAGCCAAAAAGGAAAAATAAGTCCCAACCCCATCCTTCTTTTTCTGCGTTATTACTTCCTTTGTAATAAATTTATTAACACAAATGTAGATGTACATAGAATCATAGAATCACAGAATGGTTTGGGCTGGAAGGGACCTCAAAGATCATCCAGTTCCAACCCCGCTGCCATGGGCAGGGACACCCTCCACTACACCAGGTTGCCAAAAGCCTCATCCAACCTGGCCTTGGACACTTCCAGGGATGGGGCAGCCACAGCTTCTCTGGGCAACCTGTGCCAGTGCCTCACCACCCTCAGAGTGAAAAATTTCTTCCTTATATCTAATCTAAATCTCCCCTCTTTCAGTTTAAATCCATTGCCCCGTGTCTTATCAGTACACACCCTTGTAAAAAGCCCCTCTCCAGCTTTCCTGTAGGCCCCCTTTATTGGACTCGAAATTTATTTACCAAGAAGCTAATACAATAGTTTGTTTGTACACTGTGAGCAACATTTGTTGCCCCCAAAATGCAGCAAAAAAAGCCACTTCAACCTTCCCAAGATCTGAGTGAAGGTGACCAGAAGGAAACAGAAGACCAAACTCATTGCTCATTAGCCCATAAAATAATCTGATTCTTTTCTTACCATGGTTTCTCCTGCGTGCTTCCTTTCTTGATTGGTAGCAGCAGCTTTGGTTATTGGTGTTTCTGCTGCTGCAAGGTGTCAGGGCAACTGCACCTCTGCTGTTGTACAAGCAGCCTGGTGCAAGGTGTCAGGGCAACTGCACCTCTGCTGTTGTACAAGCAGCCTGGTGCAAGGTGTCAGGGCAACTGCACCTGGCTGGCAGGGGCCCCACAGCATCACAGCGTAGGCAGGAGAGGTCATAATGTCTCCTGGGCAACCACCCCATTCCACCCAGTCCCCTTACACCAGCAGCCTGCTTTCTAACCACGTACAGGACCCAGCTCTGAAGTCTGATCTTAAGCAAGTCTTCCCAGTTAATTCTCCAAGCTAAACCTTGTGGTTGTGGTGGTTTTGGGTTTGTTTTGTTTTTTTTAAATAAATTACAACTGGTATTAGTAACCAGAATTTTAACACAGAGCATCTTCACAAATAACTGGTTTCCTTCCTTAAAAGTCTAACAACGGGTGAATATGCTACTGATAACTCATTTAGTAATTAACCATTTCAGAATTTCTTCATTTACACTTTCAAAAGGTGGCATCATTTTGAAATGTCATCTTTCTGACAAAGGCAACTGTAGATAAATGGTAAGCATGGAGTTCAATTGCTTAAATTCTACTGATTGAAATTAATTGGGAGACAGGTTGAACTGCAAGGAATTCCACTGGACTATTTGCTCATCGGCGAACAAGGTACATGGGATTATCTTCGTGTCTTCCAGTGCTAAGGCAGCAAACCTCATCCTGCCAGCCATTCCGTATCTTTGTGAACTCTGTTCATCTATAGACAGCTGTTCTTCAGCCTTTCAGCTGCCTACAGGATGGGCCGATAAAAGTTTTTTGCATCTAGCAAGAAGATGGCATAACCAAAAAGCAGAACTATAGTTTGCTCTTGTATCTGGTGTTGCTAGCAGAAAGTTCACATACACATGGCACACGCATCCTCACGAGGCTTAACTAGTAGGATCCCCACGGCTCTGTCTTTTGCCCTCATGATACAATGAGAGAAAACACAGCTAAAGATGAATACCAGTTACTTTATTCTTGGTAGCACTGGTCTTGGCCAAAAAACCCCACACTGCATCTTTCACAGAAAGTAATTACCATTCTCTAAACTCCTATGGAAACGCAGACTTACACCCTACCAACGTCATCCATTGATGAGACCTCATCAGATTCACACTGAAAAAGTCCTCTACTTAATTCAAATATGGCTGTACAATGTGGACTCGTAGCGAAACATTTCTGGAAATTGTTTGAAAACTGTAGAGTATCAATACATGACATGCAAAAGTTTTCATATACTTAATCACAGCATAAATAAGCAACTCTGCGAAGAGGTAAATCAGCAGTCACTTTATTGTGAAAAATAAATATTGCAGTTTTAGGATTAATTGCAAAAAAAAACCCTGACAGCTTGTTTCTGCCTGCTTGCCCTCTCATGATCAATGAAATAAAATACAAATGCAAAATGAGTACTCAAAAAAAGTGAAGGTTACCAACCTACACTTAAAGCCAAGTTGAACGTTGAAGTCCTGGTGAGTGGCTATGCCATTTAACAGCATTCTCAACACAACGCATGGCCTGCCCAGACCACTGGTCCCAACTCCCAAAATGCAGCTCTGCCATCTAACTAGAAATGTTAAAACTAGAGCAAAACATGTTCGTTACTTATACGGTCACCTTGGTGAGAATTTGGCCTGACTCAAGAGTCAAATTTGCTGTTTCATGAAGTGGCTTACAAAGTACTTAAAGTGAAGCCTTGCACAGTATGGAGCCAGTGGATAAAAGCTGGTCATTCCTTGAAAGAGCACAATTCCAGTTGTGTTTTATTTCACCCGGTCTCCCATCAGCTGTTGGTTGCAGAGTTGTAACCACACTCACAGCTGGATTATAAGAACCATCTAGCAATATGAAGAGCAGCTCTCCCCTGTGTGTGCAGAGTATGTAAGTAGTAACTTTTCATATGGTGAAGCATTATATGCAACATATCCTGTGTAAAGTCCAAGCAGAGACAAACACTTTGGGAAAGGATATGGGATTGTTTTGTTTTTTACTCTGAGACAACTAGGCAAGGTCGTTACTGCATTCATGAATGAGCTGCCTCAGTTTACCTGACACTAATACTGGAGTATTTATTGGGATGATTCAAGAAGAAATAGATACACAACTATTTTTAGTTATTTTTAGCACTGAAGATGCAGACTCTTTCCAAAGTGTCCTGGTAGATAGCAAAACAACAGATCACACGCAGTTCAAAGGCACCAACACACTGCCATCTGTGTCGAGAAAACAGAAACAGCCACCACCTCAGAGTATGGCTGCTGCTCGAGACAGAGGAACGACCTGAAGGGAACTACGGTTGTAAGACATCACACTGGGATCTATACTGGCTACTTTTCCACAGGTTTGGTGTGTTGGATAGAATTTGCCCATCAAAACCACTACTTTTTGTAGTTTTGGGCTGATGTCAGTCAGCTGACATCCTGACCTGAATCCTTTTGGCACGGATGCTGGGATGGTGGGCTACTTGTTTTTCACAAAGGCTCCTTGCCTTTAACTTGTCCTCTCCAGCATGCAAGTTTTGCTCCAGTGAAAGCAATATTTAAGTAGGCCAGTGCTCTCTCCTTTGGAATTTACCCTTTGTCAATCGATGATAGGTGGATGGATGGAGAAGAGATGAATACTCTACCCCAGACCTCCAATTTCTGCCTCAAGTGGTGAGAAATGGGGTCAGTCTGCTGACAGATCTTCTGCAAAGACACTAATTTCCTTGCCACAGATCTGGGGAAGGTTTTGGGATCTCAGAGAAGCATCTCTTTCTACCTATTAATAAACTTTTGTTCTGCATGATAGAGCATTGCTAAATGGCTCCGTGTCACCCAGGACTTTAGATACTGGGGGCAGGGAGGGACAATCCTAGACAAAGACTTTTTGACATCTACATAAACCAAGCAAGAGGCAGGAAAAGAGTAAAACAATGCAACAACTCCAGTTATTCAACCAGACAATAATATAGAATATAGTTTAAAAAAATAAATCTATTTCCTTACTACCACCACATGCTCCTAAGAATTACTATGCATCAGGCAAGCACGGAGTGCTGGAATTTGCATTTAGAAGAGCAGGTGCAGCACAACAGTCTTTGTGGCCCACCACCTTGGCCTTCTGGCCTAAATATGACTAAAATCAAGAGCGTCTGTATAAGGAGGCATCAGTCACAAGAGAAACCATGGCCTTCAAAATGCAATAGGCTTCACTTTCTCCAGTGTTTTTGTTCCACCTGCTCGTCCTAAATCCCATACTGCAGGAAGTGAGCTTGTCAGATGTCTTCAGGAGGAACAGAATATTCCCCTGATTATTGGTCTCCATGGCCTTTTACAGTCATGCCTCCGGGAACTCTATTTCACTTGTTCAGAAAACTGCCCAGCATTTGTAAGGATGAAACCTTCTTCCATAGTTCCTAACTGTCTACACAACTCAAAAGCTCACTCAGGAGCTACATCCAAAGCAAAGTGTTTGAAAAGGAGGATTCTTATTCAGTTGTAGACTATGGAAGGAGTGGCTTTACCCTGGCGTTGGACAGAACGGTGCTGTAGAGCCAAGCAAAACATCAGGAATACTTGGCATGGCTTCAAAATTCATGCAACACCACTCCCTGTCTGAAGAAACTAAGATATCACCACACAGGAGTTCACAGATGGTCATCTCAAGTAGGACACTGATTTCAACAGTCTTTGAAAAGCTCGATAACATCTTTGAGACAAGCTGACACTTTTACAGCAGGAGAAAAGCACGTTCTGCGATGGCATACGCTTAGTCTTGAATTGGAGGCCTGTGGATTGGAGAAAATACAGCTGCCCAAGCCTGTC